TAGGTATATGTGCATCAGTGTTTATGTGTATTTTTGTGCATGTATATCTGTATGTAAGTGTGAAGGTGTTTCATATAGCTATAAAAAGACAATGCTATTTTTTTTACAACGAATATCTGATTATTCAGTGTATACTAGTGACCAATTTGTTAAAATATTTAAATGAAAAACATGGTAACTGTGTTTTAACTTTTGAATCTGAAACATAAAAAATGACAAAACTTTTTAGAACAAGAAATTGTCAAAAACCACATAATATGAATTAAATTTGTTAATCATTATGTGTGTAATCATGAGAGCTTATATGTAGACATGGCATCACAAAATAAAATGTCCTTCTAACAAAATGGAGGTCCTAAATCAGATGTTAAGTGAGAAGCCAAATAGGATATTAAAAGTGTGTGTGTGTATGTAGGGCTAAATGAAATGCTGAAAGTGAATGGGGGGGGGATCAATTATTAAAAGCCACAGGAGGCTAAGTCAGATGTACAGTTTTAAAGATTGCTAATTCTTTATACTGAAGGTAACATCAATCAGCTCAGTGAGAAAATTTTACTTATTTTAATTATATATATATATATATATATTTGGTTGGATTGATGTGAGTTTGTGACCCTGGGTTTCACACTTTTGCAACTGATGATGTAAAAAGTGTGAAACCCAAGGTCACAAACTCACATCAATCAACCAATATGTTACCTCTATCTCTGATATTGGCTTTTCTAATAAATTACCAGACATATAATATATAAATAATTATATATATATATATTTATTTATATACACACACTTTCACACATATATATATATATATATATATCTATGTATGTATACATATGTATGCATATATGTATATATATATATCTATATATATATATATATATATACGTATGCATATATATATATATATATATATATATATATACGTTATGCATATATATGTATGTAAATATACATATGTATATATATATGTATACGTATGCATATATATGTATATATATATATACATATATGTATACATGTATATACATACATACATATATATATATACATACATATATATGTATACATACATATATATACATACATATATATACATACATAAATACATATAAATACATATATATATATACAAAGATATGTATAAATACATATGTATATACAAACATATGTATAAATAATTATATATATATATATATATATATTTATTTACACACACTTTTCATATGTATACATACATATATACATACATATATATATATATACATATATGTATACATACATATATATATACATACATATATGTATACATATATGTATACATACATCACTACTTAAATTTTTTGACATTTAAATAAAATTCTTCAAAATATTCACTCAATCAAAAGAAAAATCCTTTTATTTTTAAAGAATAAGCAGTATATTCATATTAACTGATTATTTAATTATTTTTTTCTCTTTCGGGTAAAAATTGTTATTAAAAGAATATAATTCACTCTCAGCTAAGGATATGATTGAGTTCATGAAGTAACATGATAAAACGGAATGTGGTTTCAATTCAAAAGTTTTTTGTGAATAATGGTTTCAACAAGCAGGGACGGAAACCATTTTTTTTTAGGAAGGAAAAAAGAAGAAAACTAAAGTTAAATATTCATTTGGCAAGCGACTTAAATGGTTTAGAATAATTATTGATATTTAAAATTCCGAGTCGTAGTATGAAGACCTCAAACTCCATTTGCACTTGAGACTGACGATATTTTTAAAATGGAAAAAAAAATTCTCAATATTTTGTTAAATGCTCTTTAAATGGACTACACAGAGCCAGTCTTACTGTTGAGTGTTGTGTTGTGTTGACTAAAAACTAAATCTAAAAACGGAATCAAAATTTGAAATAGAATTGATTCTAGAATTTGAGATTATTTAAAAATAAAGAAAAATATAATGTTTTGAAAACACATTCTTTAGGATTTCTTTTTTTAGGTTTTGTTTGACTCTTTTTTTTTAAAAAAAAAAATCAAATTGGAAAAATTTAACGTAAATTTTACCTTAAATTTTTCCAATTTGATTTTAAGGTAAAATCCTAGTTTTTTAGTCACAATGTTGTAAATTTAACCTACTGTTTAAAAAATCTTTGAAATTTAAATTTACCTTATGGTTTCAGGGTGCATGATATTTTTATTTTTGAACATTTATTTCGTAATTAAAGAGAAAAAAAAACAATGCTGGTATCTGTTCTTCATTTTTTTAAAAAAAAAAAAATCGAAAACTGCGCGCGCAATTATACGCAAAATTAGTTTTTTTTTTTTATGAAAGGTTTCAATACAGAGACATTATTTTTTAGACTTAAATTAAATCATTAAAATTTAATGATTAAATTTAAAATATTAGATTTCAATAAATACATCATCCGCTAGGGCTAAAAATATGATCAGGAAAAGTAGGCATAAATTAAAAAAAAAAAAAACCAATACTTATGCGATTCTCCACTTTCAAAAAATACACACAATTTATCAGATCTTTTTTTCCTTTCATTTTTTTCATTCTATTTCTTTCTTTACCGTCGACGTTTTGCTTCCTTTCTTTCACCTTCATCTTAAAACCAAGATTTAATTTTTAAATCCGTTGCATGATATTTTCCAAATTAAAATAACTCATCACAAAATTGATTATTAATTTTGAAAAAAAAAAGTTATAAACAGTTTTCTTTTTAGCCAATTTCAATTTCCACTTTTTAGGACATTGGAATTAATTATTAATTAACAAGAACAACGTTTTTGCTGGTTTTTAAAATATTCCTTTCTCAAGTCAATCAAAGCTGAGCCGGTTGATGAAGAAAAAAAAAACACTCTGTAACGAAGAGCTGTGTTCCATGTTAAAGACAGTTTTTTTTTTAGACATTCTGAATTTCATTTTCTTTCTTCTTTTTTTTTTAATAAAAAAACACTGCCAATATTTTTTTTTTTTTTTTTTTTCAATAGTCAATCAATACATTTATTTCATCATTGTTCCGTTTGTGTATGTACACCCATAGCATAAAAAAGCAAATTGTTCAATAATACAATACAGTTGCCGGAGCGATAATAAATGAACACCATCTTCTTTTTTTTTTTTTTAATTAAAAAGATGGTCAATATTCTTTGTGGGTTTAAATTGCAAATTAATACATAATTTGCTGAATACGTTCCTGTATAATATTCTATGGATGCACATTAATGAAACAATATTTTGAAAAATAATTTGTTTCATGATTTTCAATTTTGGTTTGTAGCATTGTTTCTCTTTCAATCAAAAACTTATCGAATGAATGATTCTGCGTGGGAATTATTTTCGACACACTTTTGTTTTCAGAAGTTTTCTTTGTTCTTTTTCTCTCTCTGAACCAGAAATTCCAGTTTCAGTTTATTCAAAGAACTTACTTGCTTGTACCATGATATTCTGTAGCGTAGTATGGAATATCTGATTTGGTCTTTTAGAGTCCAGTTTTCTTTCATGTTTCAGTTCCTCAGTTCCCACCTGTTTTGTCAATCAAACTATAGCAGATAAACAACAACAAAAGCATATTTCAGAAGGCTGGAAACGTTTGCGAAAAATATTTAACCCCCTTCCAAACTTTTTTTTTTTTTTCACGTTAATTAATTTGATTGAAATTGTCTACATCGTTATTCTTCGGTTCATCTCATCTTGTGAACAGGCCTTTTTGTTGATCGTCTTTTCTTTAACAATTCTCTGTTTCCGAGAATTTTTTATTCTCCTAAAGTACTTAGTGATCTTTTAAGAGTAGCTTAGATGTGGCACAAAGCCGAAGGTATGAGGCACCCAGTGAGGATCGAACTCACTTTTTAGTTGTAATTGATCTAAGCGAAACATACACGCTTGCTAACCATTTATTTACACCACATTGAAGTGCTCCGTAAATTAATTTGTGTCATTTTCAAACCAGCATATTTTGTTTGAATATTGTCATTTTGAGGTGGATGACTTCGTTTTTTTTTTTTTTTTTTTTTTTAATTGTTATTATTAATTTTCGCAAACTGTCTTTAGCTTTTTCATATTTTTATTTTTAATATTTAACATTTATAGCCTGAAAATTTTAAGAACATTATTTAATGCTGACGAGGTCTTTTAAGACACGTCCACATTATGAGATAAACTATGAGTAGACGATGTGTGTGTGTGCATGTGCGTGTGTGTGGATTTATTACTCACTTCAATCAATCTTTTGATTATTAAATTCTTTCATTAAAAAGAAGGAAAGGAAAAAAATCTCTACAATCGGCTTTTTGTGTCTCAGACATTTTTCTCATATTTAAATTTAATGTAAAATAAATAACAATCTTTCTCATTTTTTTCATATATTTTCTCTTTTCTTTTTTTGGTATTTTCTCAAAAATATCGATTGGATAAAATCACATTGAGATACGTTATGGAAATTACCAGACGGAATTAGATAAATATTTTATTTTAAATGTAGAAAAATCATACGCAAAGAAGGAGAATACGATGTACAGACACGGACTCTGCATATCCAGCAATCAATGCGTGTTCGTGGTTCCTACATTACAAGTTCACTAGCAAAACAACAAATCTAGCTTATCGGCTGGGTTATATTACCTTTTCAATGTTACGAAGCATATCTAAGGCTTTTAGATTTCGATTGATAATTTGAAATTTGTTTATTAACACGTCCCCTTACCCAGTATCTGGTCATTCAGGGTCAGAAATTCGTTCAATAAACCTGGTTCCTGGAGATCAGTCTAGTCTTAGACCAGTACCTCCCATTGACTAAAAAAAGTCATTTTTTGACATTTATTTCAAATCGATTCATGCAATCACCAACTTTCATAATCATTTTAACCACGCTATGACTATGATTTTTATTCCTTTCCTTCTTAATTTTATTGAATTTTCTCCCAAATATTTGTGTGTGTGTGAGAGCGCGCGCGCGTGTGTGTGTCTGTGTGTGCATAAGTTGTCTGGTGGGTGTCTGTGTTTCTCTTGAATTAGACCATCGGCACACTGCTATAGTTAGTTACCATGCTGCTATAGTTAAAAGGAGAAAGTAGAGCAGGGATCTGGGGTGCAACCATGTTAGCTGCGTGATGAGCCACAGTATGACCACATTCCGAAACAAGAGACCGAGGGCCAATAAAAGCGTCAAGAAGATAGGCTCCGATGCTACCAGTGGTCATCCCGACACTGTACGAGAACATCATAATGTTGCCTGAAATAAAATAAAAAATTAAAATGAACAATAAATGTTGAAAAATAAAAATCAGGTGTTTTGTAAAGAATAGTCAAAAAGTTTAATAAAATCGCAGTTATGGCACCTTAACCTAACCATTGCATATAAAGAAATTAAAAATGAAATGTTGTGCTTCTTGTTATTCATGGATTTTTTGGACAGTTTACCATCCATCCAAGTCTCTTCACTTCTATGCTTATCTATCTCAGTTTCTTTCAGCAAAACAGCAGGCTGATTTGACATTATTTATTTAGATTTTTAGTTAGAATCAAACAAAAAAAGTGAATACCTCCTAACAAAACATGTAACAGCGCTTTCCTTTAGCGCTCCAATAATTTTTTTCACTAAATCTTTTCCAGAACTGCGCCTAAAGTAAACTTTTTATTTCATTTCATGGAGTTTTCTTTTTATTTAATTAATCTAATACTAACATAACACAGTACCTGCAAAAACAGCAGAATTATTTAGGTTTGTTTGTATCTGCCTATGAATAGGATCACCCCAGCTGAGCACTCTGCGTAGTGTTATAAAATAAAATAAGACATATCTCGGCTGATTTGCAGGCAAATAAACTAACATACTCAAAAGCAAGAGTCGGATGTGAACGGGACAAGGCCCCGTCACAAAATCACCATATTTACGCGTTTACGCATATTCCTGACGCACGAGTTCCGGTCGAAAAATAAAATAATATTTTAAAGTGTTTCTATTTTTTTACCAATAAAAATGCATCCCTCCTAATTATACTCGCGTCGTTTTACAAGCCTGTCAAGCCATGAAAAAAAACGCCATAAAAGGAGTTACACGGAAGTACAAAGGCAGTCAACAGGAGGCCAGGGAAGAGACCTGTCACGGTCAGACTGAGCGGTCAGCAGCAGTAGCGACACGCCAACCAGCGAGAACTACTACGAGAGATCAACCCAGATCTTCAGCCGGCCTATGAACTATACCACAAGACAGCTATCCCAAAACCACACGTTCCTATTGAAATAAATCACGTAAATCTATATCTGCTGTTGTCATATTTCTTTCTTGCAACCATACGCTTTGTCTATAACAGTAGGATCAACAAAAATAAAATGTTCCTTGGGCTTGATCAGTGTGTAATATTTGTTCGATCTATGATATAAGTAATATCCACAATATATTTAATTTTTATTACTTCAAAACGTTGTTTTAAATGGATACTCATATTTGAAATAGATGTCCCATTTTTATTTTAAACAGTGAGTAACATCTATTACATCTGCATACCCGATAAATTTTAAAGATAATGTGTTTTCCAGCAACAGTTGAACCTGTGTTAATTTTTTTTGTAGAAAAAGTTTGATCTGGCATGCTTTAGACCGCTGGGCCATAGAGTGTGAACATAGGAATCAACACTGTGTAGTCACTGAGTGTGTATATAGTGACTTCCAGTTTCATGCTTCAGTAAGATCTCCAGACCAATTAGTACTAAGTACTTCTTAGCAGTCTGTATCCCCAGGGAGCCTCCTCCCAGTCATTACCTCTATCTCAGAAGAGGGATGGGTTTATTGCCTGCACCTGATGCGTCCCTAAAAGGGCAAGTGCCAAGAGGCTTGGGAATTTTTACGTGGTAGGTATGGCCGTTAAACTGACTTTAAACCTCGACCTTGTGCCACATCCAGTTGTGTTGTGGGTGCCCTGGTAAATACCTAAAGTGGATTTTGTGCATGGACCAGGATGAAGTCAAGGGGAGGTGGGAGAAAACCCAGGCATTTCCAGTTACGTCTACAGGAAGACTATGCAGTCATGAACTCTAGATTGCTTATATGTGCTGGTTAGGTGGTTTGGAGGAGTGTCTATATAAATAAGTTAAGTCTCTTTATAACATAGTCACTGTCTTTCTCTCTCTCTCTCTCTCTCTATATATATATATATATATATACATACATACATATATATATATATATATATATATATATATATATATATATATATATAAAGTGAACATTGAAGTCAACACTTAGAGGTGACAAAATGGATTACCCACAATGCACCACTGACCCATATATATAAATAGTCAAGAAAAAATCCAATACTCGCAGCCTGATGATTGTCGCCTCTGAGTGTTGGCTTCAATGTTCACTTTTATATTTATATTTACATACACTCTATTTCTGATATTGAGCACTTTATCCCATAAATATAGCACACCTTAAAACTATATTTCTTCATATATACATATATATATATGTGTGTGTGTGTGTGTGTGTGTGTGTGTGTGTGTGTGTGTGTGTGTGTGTGTGTGTGTGTGTGTGTGTGTGTGTGTGTGTGTGTATATCCTGCATTTTATGTGGATTCTCAAACAAAAGGTGTTTCTGGGCAATTACTAGTTTTGAAATGATTAAAAGCCACTGCTGAAGTGACCTAGACAAGCATTCTTGGATCTCAATAGGTTACTATGCTATATGAGTATGGCCCCTAGTGGGAAATGAACTCATCCACCTGTGAGGCTAATGTGTTAACCATTGCTCAACACCATGCACCCTTACATATTTATTAAGATTGGTCAGGCACAAGGTTACACCAGTGTAACACCCAGTGTGAATCAAACTCACTAGCAATGGTAATGGTTAAATTTGCTGTTTTCATTATTAAAACAGTTTTTGGAGAAATTAGATTCCACTAAAGGTTATAGATCCTTCTAATATTGATAAGAATTTCCTTATAAATATTTTTTGTAGTGTTTAAAGTTAACAGCTTGTAGGAATCGACCATAGTTGGGATCATCGAATCAATGTGAAGTATCTTTTCCTTAGCTGCATAGTATGTGCTTCTTCATAGCTACTTACAGTTTTGAATTCAGAGTACCCCTTCCCCTAGACCGGTTGCTACTCGAGGTTATAGAACTCAGTCTGTCCTGCTTTTTACCCATAGTTGAAGGGAGAAGAGATGGATTCATACCTTTCCCAAGGGTATTAGTACATAAGTGAATGTGATGAACTCGACTAGAATTTGAACTCAGCTCTCCAATTCCTCAATCCAAGTTGCAGTCCATTAATCCACCATACGTCAGCTTGTATATATTATTTTTCTTCTAGTCATATGTGTTACACATTTTTATTGTTGTAAGTGTTGTGGTTTAATGGATAACAGGTCAGAAGGAGAAATCAGAGAGCCAAGTTCGAATTCCATTTGAATTTGTTATATTCACTTTTGCGTAAATACTCTGAAGAAAGGTATGAATGCAACTTTTCTCCCTCCAGCTATGGGTTGAATAGCAGGAAAGACTGGGTTCTATAGCCTTAGTTGGCAACCAGTCTCCTGCAGGAAGAAATGACAACCTACTGTGGGAAAATCCTCTGCCTAGTCAGAATTGAAAGAGATATGATCACCCAAGTGTGCATTACATACCTCACTTTACTGAGTACTGTTCAAGAAAAGTGGGTTTTTTATTTGCTAAATCTCTTTATTCCAATATAAAGCTCTTGTGATTTTGTCATGTCAATCTATGAAGTTTGATAAAGGATAGTCTTCTTTAAGATTTGGTAGATTAATTCTTTGAAACCATTTTTACCCATCTTTGTATTTATAAAGTGTAGTTTGTGTATATCAAATTGATGACTGTAGATAATGGTCTGTGAGATCAGCTTACCATTCCTTTATGGCAGCTGAAATGTGGTCTAATGCTTCCTCTATATTTATAATTTTACATTTTTTTATTTTGAATAATCGGGGCAACACAATATCTAGTAAATGTTACCAAATATTGATTGATATGTTTTTTATGGCTTATCAACCTTTTACAAGTTATTTATAGCTAGAAAATATTTTTAGATTGTAAGAATTTTTTTTTTTGAGATAATAATGATTTACTGATACAAGTCTTACTGATTAACCCATAACTGGGAGGAGAAGAGGTGGATTCATACCTTTTCCAAGTGTATTTGCAGGTAAGAGAATATAATGAACCCAATTGGAATTGTAACTTGGCCCTCCGATCTTGAATTCTGAGCCATTATCTATTACCCCACTCTGCACATCTAAACAAAGAGCACCTGGTATTCCCAAGTGGTCACCCATCAGGCTTGACATTGCTTAACTTTGGTGATTTTACAAGAACCAGTGTTTCAACATGATATGGCCGTAAGCTTTACCTAACTAAAAAACCTATCTTTATTCAACTATATAACCAATCATTATAAGATTGTGTATTAAATACAAGTGTAGGAGATTAAATTATTTTCTTCAATGCACCCCCACCACTCTGTCCAGCATGGAGCGTATTTGACACGGCACACATATTATTTTTCAGATCATTTCCCATTATTATTATCCAATGAACTGAAATTTTTGCATAAAATTGAACCAGCATGATTATTTTATAAGTTGAAAGATTCCCACCCATTTGACTAATCTAGATACCACTTGTATTTGGTACAAAAGAATGCTAAAAGAAAAATTAGATTTTCTAGTTAAACCATTGAATCCTGAGACTTGATCTCTTTTCAATAGATTTATTTTGTTTCTCCAGCTTTTGTGACTTTTTGTTTATGATTTATGATTTCTAGGATGAAAAATTATTATTATTTACATTTAGACTAATGTCCTCATCTTTATTGCTATTATCAAAACGTTTTGGCCATTGTGACCTCGGGTCTTCATCAGATGCTTGTCAATCCATTTTTAGGGATATCTCATCCTGTTTTTATTTAATATTAGTCAGTTTTTTCTCATCCTGATTCCACTGAGTCTAAGTCTGCACTACCTGTCCCAGGGATTGAACTCATAATTTCTTTGTCTCCAAATTCACGAACCAATTCTTGAATCCACAAGGCTGTTATCTATTAACCACTTTAGATTAAATAAATGGTTCTGTTCAAAATTTCTTATCAGACATCTTTTTTATTCAGTAACCTTCAAGGAACTTTTTGAATTAAACTATTTTACAATGTGCATCTTTGTTTATTATTTAGGTCCAAATATGGAAACTAAAATTGTTATCTAGTAACCAAGTTGGTAAACAAAGTAATAGAATCTTATATTTCTGTGTGTCTCTTCCTTTCTTAGCATGTATGTCATGTCCTGCCAATACCTCGTAAATAATGGACTATTCTGTTTTGATCATGCAGAAAAATGGAAAAGACATATCAGAGATGTTATTTGATTTCAGTGAGAAAATGAAAGAAGGAAATGCCTTGCCAATACTTCATAAATAATGAACTGTTCTGTTTGTGAGGAAAGATGGAAAAGACATATCAGAGACACTAATTTCAGTGAGGAAAAGAAAGAAAAAAAAGCCAAAATAAAATTCAAAACAGAAGCCATGAAATTTTTGCAGGTACTGAGTTAAATATTATTTGAGAAACAGTATTCAGTAAAATAAGATCAATTTTCCAGACACTGTAAAATTAAAGCTAAAAAATCAATCCATTCATATCATTAGACATGAAGATAAAAGAATTGGTTTCCAATGTTGATTCTATTTTGGCTCCTGAAAATGTGGTTATTGATCTCTAGGTTAGACTTTTCTGTTGCCTTGTTGACTGTAATTAACTTGGAAAGAATATTGATGGAATAAATCACCTGACTGAGTGATTGTTGCAGTTACATAAACTCTTGAACCCTGACACCTGTTCACTTATTTACCAGTCCTGGATATTTGGTTATTGATCTCTAGGTTAAACATTTCTGTTGTTTTGTTGACTCTAATTAACTTATAATATTGATAGAGAAAATCATCTGTTAGGGAGATTATTGCAGTTAAATCTCTTGGACCCTGACACCTGCCCACTTACCAGTCCTGAATATCTTAGTAAATTCAGAATATAAGAGTAACAAAGACTGATACATAGAGTTCAATCCTTAGAAAGGACTGTAACAAATATGCATATACTCAAGAATACAAAGAATAGGGAATTTCTATGTGAAAAATTTCCCTAAAATCAATGAGTATTCGTGAAGTATAGACTAAATTAGCTTTGTTCTGATCGTTTAAACCAATCAAGAGAGCTTTCCCCATTGCCAATACACTATCTTTAGATATTTGGAATAAATTTCCTTTTTTTCAGAACTGCACATGGCAGAACAAATCAGCAGTGACTGGTACAAAGTTGCTCATATGAACAGCCTTATTTTACTTACATGTTAGTTTGTATAATTTATTTTTAGTGATTATCTTATTCATTTGTTATCTTCTATCTTATTAATTACTGTTCTTTTATTGTTATCTCTCCTTAATAATGTTTTCAGTTTCTGATATTCTCTCACACTCAGTAACCCCTTGTGTTTTAGTGGCTTATTTGCCTTGTTTGGAGTGAAATGATTAAAAAAAAAATAGAGCATTCTACCAGTAAACCGGTACAAAAGGTTGCATTTAGTTAAAACACATTCTTGAAGTAAATAGTACAGAGATAAATACCCTAGTATTCCTGTCCACAAAATCATTTGATAGAAAAAATTATCTCATTGAAAGAATGTGTAAAAAATTTATATTTACTTACCTGTGATTTCTTTTTTCTCATCTGACACTTTCATGGGAGCAAGGATCATGGGCACACTGCCAAAATAGCCGTTAGTCACTCCAAGCAATAAAGAAGCCAAAATAGCATAACCCTCTCCATCTAGAATGGGGCGGTGGCGAGGTACGACGCACATCATCATCATAGGGACGAGTAGCATCCGCATACAAGTAAAAAGAACCAGACGACCTCGGGGCCAGTCATACGGAATGGCAGCAATGATCTGCGAAAATCAAAAATCGATTAACCATAAAGATAGAAAATTTTTTTCTTTCTCTTTCTTTCTTTTTTCTTTATCTTTGTTTCTTTCTTTATTTCTCAATCAGTTCATTATCTATATATCTATCTAATAATTCGCAATTGGTTGCATACGAATAATGTATGTTCTGAGATCAATTCTAAGAAGGTAACATATTTTTTTAACCTTTTTCAAATATTTCCTTTCCTAAAAGATACACTCCATTCCCAAGCCAACATTAGAAATGCATTTCATTCTCTGATGAACTTACACGCACACATATACACACACACACAAATTATATATATATATATATATATATATATATATATATATATATATATATATATATATATATATATATATTAATTCAATTTAAATAGAAAACAGACAAACTTAAGGGTCCATTGGCTATAATTTATTTCCCCAGATATATAAATTTTTTACCTGGTTCATCAGACTGCACTTCCAAGGGTGAAAAAATGTTTTAAATTTGCATATAGATTTACACACTTATGAGGGGTGATGTAAGGTGATATAGAGAGAGGGAGAGGAAGAGTATGACAGACCATGTCATATGTGCAAAGTAACAAAGGCCTGGAAAGAATCGCAAGGAATCAAGTCACTGTCATGTGTAGCCCAAAGTCCTGACATGAATCCAATAGAGCACGTTTGGGAGCACCTTCACGGAAAACTTTGAAAGCGTGCAACCAAAATCACTTCAGTGGCAACCCTTAGAGAAACATTGCTAAAGGAGTGTCAACATATGGATCAGACGATTGTTGATAACTTGATAAAATCCATGAAAAATCAAAGACAAGCACTAAAATTAACAAATGGAGAACCTACTACATACTAGTTCCAAATACTGTTTATTTATGTTGAGTTGGAACTATGCAATTAAATTTTGAAACTGGATATAGTTTATTTCTCCTGGCTAAAAACTTTTCTTAGTCTACTGTATATATATATATATATATATATATATATATATATATATATATATATATATTTATACATACACACACACACACACACACACATATATATATATATATATATACATACATATATATATATATATATATATATATATATATATATATATATATATATATATATATATATATATATATATATATATATAAATATAATATATCTATATATACATTATATACCAAATATGTGGTGCAGTTCAATTTACATTACATGAATCATTCATACAAAAAACAGATGTAGAAGTTAATGATTTAAATGGCGAGAATTATTATATTCTTCTCCATTTAAATTTAACTTTCATGTGTATGATTGATGTAAAATATATATATATTATATATATATATATATATATATATATATATATATATATATATATATATATATACATATATATATAATGTATATACACATATATATATATATATATATATACATACATATATATATATATATATATATATATATATATATATATATATATATATGAATACAAGTTTGGTATAGATAGAATAAAATTCCAGTAACCAAAAACATTATTTTTTAAAAAGTACTCAAATAATATTTATTTAAAATTATAACATAAGCCAGTTATAGCATCACTATAAAAATAGCCATTTTGTTTCAACACTTCTGGCGTCTTGTCAAATGATGGTGTTGATTGTAAAATAAAATGTTTTTAAAGAGTTCAAAATCATCCACTATCCCCACGAAGGGGAATATTTTTACGTAATATGTAATGGCCAATAAAATCCAGGTTGACCATCTGGTCCACCCCACTTTTAATCTCATGGTTAAAACTAAGTTAGGACTAAAATTATTAAATCTTATTAATAAACATTTTGCTAAAACGAATAGGCTTAGTAAAATCTTCAATAAAAATACTTTTAAACTTAGTTACAGTTGTGCAGATAACCTTGAAAAAAAATAATTAAAAAGCATAATAATAAGCTATTTGACAGATAAAAACTCAAAGGGCATGATGATCTGTAGTGATGCATTAAACAATACTAAATATCATAATACCAATATGAATGAATGTAACTGTAAGAATCCCAATGATTGCTCATTACAAAACTATTGCCAAACTAGTTCCCTGGTTTATCCGAATATTACAAAATTTTACAATGGTATTACTAAAAGTCCATTTAAATGCCATTGGTACCAGCGTGTTTTTTCCTTCAAAAATAGTTCTCATAAACATGCTACCTCGCTGTCTGAGTACTATTAAAGTTTGAAGGAGGAAAACAAAACTCCCACTGTTAAATGGAAGTTAATAAGAAGAGCTCATATCTGTAGTTCTTTATGTGCCCCATGCTACCTCTGTCTCAATGAAAAGCTAGAAACCATTAAATTTAAAGACAAGATAAACCTATTAAATCAAAGGAAGGAGCTCACTGTTAATTGCAAGCATCAATTATCTTTAAACTTGCTTTCTAGTTAGATAGAATATTGTATGTAAAGATGAAATGGTATTGTAAGTCTGTAAATTTTTTTTTGTCCTTAAATTTTTAATCATTCTCTATCTTTATATCCTAAGATTTCAATATAAAGTGGATTATTTAGTTAATATTGAATAGTTGTAACTCTTATTGAATTAATCTTTCCTAGACTCTGAATTTAATATGGCGATTTTGGTAAGGATGTTTGTTTGTATGCAAATATATTTGTTTTTACTACTGTTCTATATGGGCAGATTTTTCTAGTTGCTTGTTTTTATGTTTGTGTTTATATGTGCTTATTTTTTATGTCCACTTACATCTGTTTGTGTATGGGTGTCCATGTTCGTATAGTTATTTATTTTTTCTTTATTGATATTTTTATTGTGTGCACCTGTATATATGTATACTGTTTATATATGCTTTTATATGCATTGGTGTGCCTAATATATGTTGCATTCATTGGTATTCCTCTCACCAGCATCGAATTTAACTGATAAATTAATACTTCAATATGAATAGTAATAATGGTATAATATTATAATAATGAAATAATGTGCATTTATATGTATATTTATGTTTACTTTATGTTTTTCATAGCCTAACATACATCTTTCTATTTCATATTTCTTAAATTAGTTGATAAAAAAAATTTATTTATCTATATATATGTATGTTTTATGTTTTGTATATGTATGTTTATATATGTATGTATATATATATATATATATATATATATGTATGTAGTTATGTCTATATATATATATATATATATATATATATATATATATATATATATATATATATATATAATGTGTATATGTGTGTATGTTTATATATTTGTCTATTGATTTTCCATGTTTGTGCAATTTTGATGGGTAGTTTGCATTGTCTAATCAGTTTCTTGATGTTTAGATGAAATTCATCAAGAAACTGATTAGACCGGAATGGATTAGTATAAAAATAAGTAGGCACAATATGTTCATATTATTCAATGAAAAATGTTTGAATGAAGATTTACTATATATCATGTATATATATATATATCATGTATCTATATATATAATATATATCATGTATGTATATATATATATATACATCAATCATGTATATATATATCATGTATCTATATATAATATGTATATATATATATATACACATCAATCATGTATATATATATCATGTATGTATATATATAATATATATATATATATATATATATATATATCATTAAAATTTAATATTTCTTAATTATAACCATTAATTTTCTTTGCAAGTCAATAAACACTGCATTGTCATTTAAAGAGTGAGTGCATTTTTTAGGACACCCTTTATATTGATCCTTGTATGTCATGCAGCCCACGAATTCCATTTTCTTGACAGCCTGGTGATGTAGTTCCAAAGGAATCTTACTGGTCTTTGGATTGTTTTGCATCATATTCATTGAGATCAGTTGTTGCAGTTCCATCACACAGCACCACTTTACTTGTGGCAGGTTGGGCTCAAAAGCTTAGAATAGATAGAATCTGGGTTGCTTAACAACCAGTTTGGCCTCTTAATGTAATAAGTAAAAGTTGGTCACCCAAGCATGTGTAACATGTGCTACTAAGTGTGAATTTTTAAATATATTTTCAGTTTCCAGAAAATCTCCAACTAAATTGTTGCAAATAATTTGACTCCCATTGTCTGCTCATTAGAAATGCACCTATGGACTTATTTGATTACTAGATGTGTAACGAATAAGAAAATATCATTCCCAAAGAAATCTTTTATTTTGATTATTAGATGATTATATATATATATATATATATATATATATATATATATATATAAAGAAGTGATGGATTTTTATTTATTAATCTGACAGATTTTATTACTTAATTGTTATTTTCAGTGGATACCCATATTTCAGTAGACGCTTGATACTGCTTATAGTCTAATTATATGTTTACTCAAATATGTGTATCCAATAAAAATAACCTTTAAGTAATAAAATCTGTCAGATTAATAAATAAAAATCCATGACTTATTTAGAAATTGTTTTGTTTACATTGGGATAAGAAACTGAGTAGATGCATATATTTTGAGTCTGGAAAAGATTTGTGTTTAAAGGCACTATTCAACTTTGCTTGATCAATGATGCTCTTTGTGGCTGAGTGGTCTAAAGCAAGTCAGATCTAACAGCAGTTGTCCCTGCTCTGGGGGATGCAGGTTCAAATCCTGCCAGAGAGTGCATATTTTTCTCTAATAAGATTTCTTAAATATTCAGGCTGGTAGATGAAGATAAATAAATAAACAAACAGTGTCTACTCAAATATGGGTATCCACTAAAGATAATGCTTAAGTTTATAAATATATATATATATATATATATAGGAAACTAAAATGATACATATGACACACTCATATCCTCTCTCCCACCTCACTTCGTTAATTTTACGTATACTTGATGAGGTCTGTAAAAAACGTGTGAATTTCTTTTCATTTTTCATTTCAGCTTTTGGAAGTAAAGTCTGATGATCCAGAACCCTGTTAAAGGGGTTATGGTGAAATAGCTTATTACATGGAATCTTAACGTGGTCTGTCTTTTATTCAAACATATCTGCTCTGAATTTTACATTGAGCTCTCTGGATATCATCCTCCTCAGGTCTACCCATACGAATTACCTAAGTTTGCATAAACCATATATATATATATATATATATGATAATATTTCCTCATAGAGAAACATTTGTCAGTTAGTGCTACTATTGACTGAAATTTATAAAATCATTCTCTTAAAACAGTTTTTCAATAATATAGGTTTTTCATGTTCAATAGTTGTTATCATTCTTTTCAGTATTGATGAGGGGGGGTCTCTTTCCTAAAATTTTGTTTGAAATAGTATGGAACATTTACCAAACTTTGAATTTTTACTTAATTTTTAGAAAAATTTTACTTTTAGAAAATAATAAAATTTTAACCAAGTAGTTAATTACTTACCTTTCCAATAAAGTCGAACAAATTAAAAATGGCCATTAAAATGACTGGTGTCCAACTCTTTAGACGACAGCTGACGATTTGAGATTCAATTCCTGGGAAGAGTAACAATGTGACGAAATATGCCATCCCAAGAGATATCATGTAGGGCCAGACACGTTTTGTTGCCTCCCATCGTAACATTAAGGCCCCTATGAAAGAATAAAACATTATAAAATTGAGTTAGAAATGCATCTCGTATTTTATCTTAGCAAATGTTGGATAAACAAGAATTCAACATAAGCAAATTATGTAAAAAGGAAAGCCGCTTATCATGGTGAGTTTGGATTAGAACTTTTAGTTAATTCCTCCTTTTTAGTGCCACTAGAGTCCCCTGGGGTGTCTAATAGCATGTTAGGTCATACTGCTGTAGTTACTGTAGTTTTGTAACTAGTAAGTTTTTTATGGTGTTGCATTACCAAAGGTATTTGTTTTTGAATTAATGGTAATATTAGCTGTTTCTCTACAAGGAAACATTTTGGCATTCATTGCTGGAGTAGCCAATACTGTTTTCAGCTGAAATTTATAAAATATTTCTCTTAAAACACTTTTTTCAGGACAATAGGTTTCTCAAGTTCAGTAGCTTTTATTGCTCTTTCCAATACTGGTGGGAGTTTCCTTCCTAATCTTTTGTTTGAAGTCATGTGGAATGTAAAAACTGTTCTTCTAGATTGGTTGTCAACCAAAATAAGAGAGCCCAAATGGCATTGTTACTTAACCCATAGCTAGGGTGAGAAGAGATACTGTAAATTGTGGCATACAAGCCGAGTTTTCAAGCCTAAAAATCTTTCTCAAACTAGGGGTTGACTTCCTAGTGGGTATAAAATGCAAACCTTTATCACTGAGTTGTAAACAAGTGGGACGACACTCCTAACAATCACAGTACACCACTTGCCATATCTCTAGCAGGCTGTCACAAATATATCCCAGTAAAACTTGTGTTTGGTGAACATACTTGGTATGTTAACACAGAAATTAATAATGGATAGTGGCTTGGATTGAGAAATCAGAGAGCCAAGTTCAAATTCCAGTTGAATCCATTGCATTTGCTTATGTGCTAATACCCTTGGGAAAAGTATAAATCCTCTTCTTCTCTCTCCAGCTATGGGTAAATAGCTGGACAGACTGGGTTCTATAGCCTTGGATGAGTCGAATCTGTTACATTCACTTACGTGCTAATACCCTTGGGAAAAGTATGAATCCTCTTCTTCTCCACCCCCACACCAGCTGTTGATAAATATCAGGACAGACCGGGTTCTATAGCCTTGGATGGATTGAATCCATTACATTCACTTACATGCTAATACCCTTAGGAAAGGTATGAATCCTTCCTCCCAGCTATGGGTAAATAGTAGGACAAACTGGGTTCTATAGCCTCAGATGGCAACTGGTCTATCACAGAAAGAAATGTCAACCTTCCACATGAAAAAGTCTGCCTAGTCAGTCATGTATCCAAAGACATGTGCATCATGCATAGCACATAACTAACTGATTGAACACAAATTCAGTATTCTGTTAATGCAACAGCACACATTGTGTCTGACAGCTGATACACTAAGTATAAACACTGACCAAAACACTGTTTAACTCTGGTGGCCATTCTGACTACTAACTATGGTATATGTATCATCTGTGCAACTTCATGATACTAATGACAGTTTAATGACTCATAATGTAGAGTTGGGGGTTGACTTATACAGTAGGTATAGGCCTAAATCAGAATTTTGAGCTAAAAATCTTTGAATTGTACGCCAGGTCAACTTGTACACTGCAATTTACGGTAGATTCATACCATTCCCAATAGTATTTGTGTGAAAGTGAATGCAACAAAGTCGGTCAGGATTTGAACTCAGTACAATGATTTCTCTTTTTCTCTCTTGTGTTGATAATCTCTCTGCTACTTACACTTGCCCATAGGTAATAGATAATAACCAGCTGGCCATATATTACGCATAGAATATACATTTTTATTTACTCAGAGTAGCTGTCATTTGGGCACAAATATGAGGCATTTAGTAAAGATCGAACTTGCTGCTAACTGATCTTTGATACTAATTTATTAACCATTACACTGCAATGAGGTGTCTCCAAAGATGTAAATACTGGAAAATTTACATTGGTTTTTATCTTGTTAAATTTATTGTTAAAAACAGCATTCCATTATAATAAATTAATATGAAATTTATTGACTTGAAATATTTTTTTTCTGGTTTTTAATCATTTCATCCTAAGCAAAGAGATAATGCTATGAGAATGTAAAGGATTACTGGGAGTGAAAAAGAATGAGAAGACTTTAGTGAAGAGAAGTGAAGAACAGGTTTCAGGAAGAGAGAAGATTGCAATTGGCATTGCATTTAAATTTTTTGAAGATTGTATGTGGCAGGGAATCAAAAATCAGAAACAAGAAGTGTGAGAAAATAAACTATTTGAATTCGAATAGAACATACGGTTGCATATAGCTCGTTCAACAGTAAAACAGTGAGACCTAATTGCCAATCTGGTAGCACACTTAAATTAATACAGTCAAGACACCAAGAAGGAAAGCTCCTCAGGACAATTACCATGAAAAAGCCACATCACATTGGTGAGAAAATGACTGAAAATGAGACACCATGTCAAGATTGATTACATTGCAGATCCTTCTCTGAATTTTGTCAAGAATCTTGAAATATATAGTAGGAGTCCCAGACCAGATATAGCAGCAATATTCAATGCAAATTATTAATTTTAATTAATTTTAGATAAATTGATTAGGGCCAACTGATATCAATGACCATTCAGAAATATTGTATAATGATTATAATAAAAAAAGCTTCCATACAGTTCCAAATTATGAAACTCCAAACAATAGATTTACTCTGAATGGCTTAAGAGATCAGCTTGCAATAAAAAAAAAAAATACTGTTTAACATGTAAAGAGTTTAGTATAAATTATTTGAAGAACATTTGTAAGGTGCTTATCTCCTTTTGATAGGGATAAGTCATATGGGTCACATGATGGACCATTTAGTGATTTCATATAGTGATAAAAGTAGCAGTCAAATTTCAGTTTGTTTTACAGCAGCAAAACTGAAAGGAAGCTTTCTTTAGCCCTGGATCTCCATGGCCCGAGCAGAGGCCAAATCTGCCTCCTCAGCAACTTACAAGTTGATAGTGCCATTTCTCTTTTGGAATATATCTTTCCCAGATATAAAATGAAAATCCAGCTTGCAATCCTCAATTTGGGAAAAACCAAGTCTCACTGTTTCCCATTCATGGAATATGTCCTCACCTTGGACAAAGATGTATCCAGCCCATTTGAATCTGGAGTCCTAAATATGGCTTCTCCAGACACAGAAGTATTTCCATATTATATGTAAAACCCTTTTTCTCTCACCTTGCACTCGGATATATGTGATGTATTATTCCCTGCATAGGAGATGGGTATATATGTATATATAGTTTTGTGTATGTCTTAGTATAAAAGTCTCTCTGAGAACAAAGCATGTTTGTCATTCCTTTTCCTTTCAGCCATTACATTACGGTGTAAAAATACAGTGTTATTATATCACAGATATAATAATGCCCAAAATGGAGGAAATACAAATGGGAGAATAAATCTTTCTACCATAGCTCTCCTGTGTTACATTTTTTACTCAGAAATATTTTTAGAAATGGCAGAAAATTAGACTGAGATAAAAATATCAATTAATCTTTATTTAATACACAAAGTTCTTATTTGTGCTCAAAGCTTAAAAGTTGTGCTCTTTGTATTATTAAATTATGAATGAGACTGCACAAAGAAGCAAATCAAGTGTAATAAGTGATTTTTTATATATTGCAAGACATCCACTCTAAATATGTGCCGGGTGGGGGGTAGAGAGAGAAATCAAATCAACTGAAGCAGCAGGTAAGTAGTCTGCACACTTGCTATTGTAAGTGTAACAAAATAAAATGATGATCATGTGATCAGTGACAAGAAATACACATGACATGGCTGATTAACATTGTCTAAATGAATGGTCATTTGAACAGAAATTGAGAAACACAGAAATTGAAAGATGTAGAAATTAATAATTTGGTGTAAATACATTTTGAAGGAAAACTAAGTATTGAAAAACAAAGCTGATAAGTAGTTATTTATAATTCCATACAGGTTCTAAAAATGAGTTTCAGGAATTGCTTGATGAGAAAGGAATTTTTTCTATTTTCTGATTGGTTAAAAACAATATATTCTCTTTCTGATTGGTTAGAAATGATGACTGACAAAATTCAATTTCTGAAAGAATTTAATCTTGAACTAAAGACACTGTAATGATAAAAACAGAACCATGAGTACATAAACATTTTTTTCTAGTTTCTGATTAGTTATAAATGATGACTGGCAAAAATCAGTTTGTAAAATAATTTAATCTCAAACTTAAGCTAGTAATGTTGTCTGTTATAAACATACCCATGAGCATAGAAATATATATCATGTAAAGCTTATTCTATATATATATATATTTTTTCTGATGCCTCATGGAAGATCTTGATATATATATAAATAGATTGAAAATAAACATTTTTCATAAAATATGTATCTTACTAGTTTATAGCCATATTCCATTGAAACACCTCATCAGTGTTGAGCCTGATCCGTACTCATATAGGTGACCACAGGATAATACCAGGTGCTGTAAGCTATGTGACAGACCTGGCAAGGTAACAAATGAATACAGTTGTACTACCACAATATGTGGAGGTGCTTCTGGACTGACTGTGTTGGGTAAGCAAGTGTTACTTAGTAATTGCTTGAATGAAACAAACAACTCTCTCACCTACAAAACAACAGTTTTTTTGGTTCTTTTTTATAGTGCTTACACAATACAGGAGTGAATAATTTGGGTTATGAAGATTATACAGCAACAATTTTTCAATCAAAGTGGGTTTGCCTACTTTGAAAAGTAGCATTGAAAATTTAGCTTTTAATCGGATTTGAATGCTAACAACAGGTATTGCTTGTTGTTGTTTTTACTGATGGTGATGATGAAGGAAATCTCATCCACAAAGTTGAGCCTAAAACTATAGATTTCTTTGACAAATGACTATGTAATCAACAGAGATTTGCTATTTGATAAAAAAGAGACTATGTTTAGGACTAGATTTGTAATTGCAAAATTTCTATGTTCATTTTGTTATGCTTTGTGTGCTTATGATAATTAAATCTCTAATGATTAAAAAAAACAGGCATTAATTGTTGGTTTGGTTTGCTTTACAGCATATCAACCACAATGGGTTATTTAATGTTGAAGTGTAAGCATTCTCAAAGCAAATTTGTGGCTTTCACAACACAACGAAAGAAAATCACTTGTAACACGTCAGGAAAATAACTCACGAACGCCGTAGCCAAAACTGCCCGAATTTTTTCCTTCCCCGAGTCGACAACACCAACTGCTTTTATCGGCAGAACCTATTTTTTCCATTCGTCGACAGCCGGGATAGGATGCTCCGTAATTTGCATATTAGTATCCTCTTATAGCGACTCCTGCGACGGACTTGTTTCTTTTTCGTCCCAGAATACACGCGACGCGCTGTCGCTTGGGTTGACGAGGTAAGTCGCTATAAGAGTTTTCCTGACTACTTTTTGGCAATCCCTCCCCAGCAGATCGCACACAAAACACGAACTTTTTTCCGGGGTACTTGATTATCTCGTTCACTACAAATGTCGACAAAATTTCCATTTTTTTTTTCAAAAATGTAAAGCTGGTATTTTTTTTTTTTAAAAATGTATAGTTTGATTTGTTTTGTTTTGTGGCAAATAAATCCTCAATGGTTTATTTAATGCTGAAAAAATTTTTATTTGTGGTAATATTTTCTTTTTCAAATATTTATTGCTGATACTAATTTTTTAAAATAGTATTTCTGGTATTAAAATCTATTTTTACACTTTCATAGTGTTTTGAGTCAGGTTGTGGGGTGAACTATTTGCCCATAGCTGGGACCCTAACAGGTCAGGGACCCTAAAAGGTCAGGATGGACCTGGAAACACCAGCAATTAAGAGGTGGTTACATGTTCCTCAAAACCTCCTGATCAGAGACCTTTCTGTTGGACATAGTTTATCGTCTTACCCAGGACGCGGATGTAGTTTATCGTCATACCCAGGACAGGCATTAATTGTTGGTCAACACATCAACTATGATGAGAAGGAAGGAGACTAGATTAAAGACTAGATTTGTAATTTTGAGATTTTTAAGTTTATTTTGGTATGTTTTGTGTGTTTATGATACTAAATCTGCTTTAATTTAAATTTCTTGTACATTATTCTTAAAAATTACAAGAATATATATATATATATATATATAATTATTTATTTTAAAAAAAATTTATAACATAAATATGTTATAAAATCACTACAAAAATAGTCATTTTGTTTCAACACCCTCGGTGTCTTATCAAGTGATGATGAAGAATGTAAAATAAATGGTTTTACCAATCATATACTTGGGTATATATATATATATATATATATATATATAATTACAATAATAATAAATTTCATATTTACATTTTTATATTCAACATGTTTGTTTTTATAATTATGAAAAATATTAAAATATAAATTTATATTTCAATAAAAAGGTCTGTGAAAATTGAATTACAAATATGTTACTCTGTTTTATATCTCTCTAATATGTTACTCTGTTTTATCTCTCTAATATGTTACTCCGTTTTATCTCTCTAATATGTTACTCTGTTTTATCTCTCTAATATGTTACTCTGTTTTATATCTCTCTAATATGTTACTCTGTTTTATCTCTCTAATATGTTACTCTGTTTTATCTCTCTAATATGTTACTCTGTTTTATTCTCTAATATATTACTAATATCTTCTAATATGTTACTCTGTTTTATCTCTCTAATATGTTACTCTGTTTTATCTCTCTAATATGTTACTCTGTTTTATCTCTCTAATCTGAGTTCAAATTTAAATTAAAGCATTCATTTTAAGTCAAGTTTCCAAATCTTGATATTTTAAGCTTATTTCAGTTTGGTACAATACCCTAGAGAGTAAATATGTACAGTTATTGTTTAATAACTCACTGCTTACATAACCAGTGATATGTCAGGTAGGATTTATAAAACAAATATGTCAAATATTTTTGTTCACTCTGATTACTACATAGTGATACATCAAATTATGGCAGCTGGTGGCAGAACTAAACCCAGTGCAGGTGTATTTTTTTTAAATTTGATATATGAAGGAAAATTTTTTTTTATTGTTATCTACCAACATTACTCTGACTTTACTGTTTCAGCTTTAGTCATTTTTCTTTTTTGTAATAAAAAGTAAATATTTCTGAGATTTGAAATTTTTGAAAGCATTTATCTGTTGTATTGAAAATCAGGCCAAAGAAAGTTTTTAAAGTGATCATGAACTAATACAAGCATAAGACTGCTTTATGGGAAAATGATTATTTTAAGAATATATATAAGATATTAAATTCAGTCTTTTTAATATAACATTCATTTTGGATGAGTCTTACTTTCAGGATCATTTTCAGTATCCTATTTATAAAATTTATCTATTTATATATATATATATATATATATATATATATATATATATATATTTTTTTTTTTTAATTAATGACCACACGATCCTGGAATAAATGTCAACATACTTACTTCGGACTGTGGAGACTTTGGGAACCTGGACTTTATATACATGACCTTTGAACTTGACTTCTTGTTCATTAATTTTGGTCAGTTCAGCTGCTGTGGCATGGTTCAACTCAGGGTTAGTTGGGGTGGTTGGTGTAGTTACCGTGGAACCCGCAAGAAAATCTTGGTGGATACTGGCTGAAGTTGGACTCTGGATAACCAACACACCATAGCTTCCTCTGTGGGCATTGTGGTCCATAATATCTACCTATGGACAGACAGACGGAAAGATGAAAACAACAGTTAATTCGATTTTATTCAGTATGTCAGTGACTGAATATAATTTATTAGTACATTGAAGTCTCTAAATTTTATATCATTCCGAGTTTTTATTACATTTCTTTCATGTGTTTACTCTCACAAGATGCACATATGCATCTTATGACATGTTTCGTATTTATTCTGATACACATGTGCATCCATTGCATGGTTTTATTTAAAAGATAATAAATAGCTTACGGTTACAGACTCCATGCAAAACTGAGCAGAGGACAATGACTATTTTGTTGTACTGAACATTTTTATTATGATTTTATTATTTAAATAAGTCATATTCAAAAAGACTATTTTACCATAATAATACAAATTTTTTGAGATTAAAAGCATATATTTGTTCCAATTTTGTTTATATTATTTTGTTTAAATTTTTACTGAAGATTAATAAAAACCTATGTTATTATTTTACCTTGATTTGTTGAGCTGTTTTTGATAAAAATCAATCATGATGCATAAATGCATTATATGGGAGCATGGAAGGAAAAAAAAAGCCAGTGTCACAGGCACATGTTAGTGTCACTGCTTATAGGTTAATGTTGCGTAGAAAGACAGACTAACTTTCTTTTTTATTCAAGTATGGACTCATCCATCTGCTATGAGTAGAACATCTGCTCATGGACAGATGCAAAAAGTGGATCGCAAAGGCATAGCACTTTTCAGTCATAGGCTTGTTGCACTGAACTACTGTATTTTTCAATTCATCATGTGATTAAACCCTTCTTTATTCAACCTTTTGCTCCAGTGTTTTCCTTACAGTCTTACTAACCAGAAACTATCAGCGTTATACAAACTTTATAACAGTTAATAAATATAATTTTATTTCATAAAATAAAGCATATATAGCAAATTCTAATATCTAAGATAACAAAGAGTTTGCTAATAGACTTATTTTTGTTTGGTTGATTTTGTTTAGTGGCATATCAACACCTCTATGGGTTATTTAATGTGAAAATCTAAATATTTTGAGCCCAATTATATGGCTTCAACTAAATATATTTTGAACACAATTGAATGCCTTTTAACTACAGATAAAATGTATTGTTAGTAATTCTACTACAAAATGTATTGTTGGTCATTTTGTTATAAATATGCATTGTTGGTAATTTTAATATAAAAATGTATTTTTATACTTTCATAGTGTTTTGTTTTTGTCTTGTAGGGGGTTACTATTTGCCATAGCTGGGGCCCTAACAGGTGCTACCACCCCAGTTCATGGTGGACCTGGGAACAACAGCAATTAAGAGGTGGTTCCACACTCCTCAAAACCTTCAATATCCAGATCAGAGGCCTTGCTGTCGGATGTAGTTTATCGTCATTCCCAGGACTGAGATTCATTTTTATTTACCAAAATAAATCATAAGTAGTCATATCTGAGAAATTTTCATGTTAACTCAAACCAAAAACATTATGTAACAGTTGAAACATCCAAGGTAGCTGTTAATCTATTAAATAAATATTATGTCTCTAAAAAGAAGGGAAAAACACAAAAGAGCAATTTATTTGGTAGACTGGCCTTGTTGCAATGCCACTATAGTATAGGTCATCCATGCCACTTGTATGGTGTACTGAAGCCACTAGCTGAGCTTAGTACATCATAAGTATTGGGTCCATAGTCAGAACTGGACTCACTCCAGTAATAATGGTCTTTTTTTATTCTTTTTTAATCAATTCCCCAAAAGCAAGGTGATAATGCCACTAAGACGCAAGAAGCACAATGAGTGAAATATAATGGGAAGATTTTAGAAGGAACCAGACACCCAATCCTAAACAGGAAACAATGGATAAATCTCTACTACTGTTCAAAAGACCAGAGAGAAATGTGAACTATATGATAGGCAAAACTATCTAATCCTATTGAGGAAAAAATAAATAGTAAATAAAATTTCAGAGTTTAGGCAGAGATGTTAGAAGTATAGAGTTGAAGTAGGCTTTAGGAGAAAGCCAATTCAAAACGGGAATCAAGGAATAAACATCTACTCCCATTCAAAAGACTGTGGAAGAGTTTGAACCAGATGATACGTAATCGACTATACTAGTGTGCTAACCATTAGCCACAATAATGTTTTTAAAATACCATTTTTCCTCGAATATGTCCCCCCCTTCAAAAAGTAGCTTTTAAATAAGTTCCACCTGGAATAAGTGACCCTAATAAAGAAAAATCTGTTTTTAATTTCAAATACGTGTCCACTTCCAAATGTGTAAGATTTGCTTATATCAACTTACAGGGGCAAAAAAAATTAAAAATAAACGGTTTCATATTGGTTTAGTTATTTAAAGAAAAATAGAAAGTAATTATAATATATACTCCCCCATAATATATACTTAATATATACTATGCTTCCCTATAATATATACTCCCCCATAATATATACTTAATATATACTAAGCTTCCCTATAATATATACTCCCCCATAATATATACTTACTATATACTATGCTTCTCTATAATATATACTCCCCCATAATATATACTTAATATATACTAAGCTTCCCTATAATATATACTCCCCCATAATATATACTTAATATATACTATGCTTCTCTATAATATATACTTCCCTATACTTCATTTGATACTATTCAAAAATAAATTTTGCTTAGCCTAATATCTTTTCAAAGTTTCATTGATTTTTTTATTTTTATCAGGGAATGGCATATTGGTTTTTGGCTACAATATATTGTTCTATTGTCTTCTTTGTTGAGTGCGTGCTTCTGCTGCAAGCACTTATCATAAATGTTTAGGAATTAGAATACATTTTAAAAAGGCTCATACGTCTCGGTGAAAAGTATTTTGCCATTCTTTGAAAATGTTTTGATTCTATAATCGGTAAAGGATAAACAGAATCAAAATATCAGAATTATAAAAGATAAGTGTTTGAAAGCGTTCCCAACTGCGTCACATGTGACCAGTGCCCCTAGGGATTATTTATGTACCCCTGAATTCCCATGAGGCATTACTATCACTTCCATCTCTTTCAGCCTAATCCATCAACTTGGGTAAACTTGGATTCTTTCTCCTAGTTGAGAATCAAATATAAGAACTTGAAAGACATTCAGAAATAAACCACCCACTTAACCCACGAGCAGGTAAAAGTACATATTTGTACATATTTTCAAATTATTGTAAATTGTGTTTGTATGGCTAGCGATCTTCTACTTATGTATTATATGTTTGTTTCATCATCTAGTTCTATGATGTTTTTTTACTGATAGTTCACCCAATACAAGGCCTTAGAATCTCTCAAGGTAGAGGGTTATTGAGTGAGATTGTAACGGGTGGTGGGGTGAAGTAAAAGGACATTGTGAGGATGAGTAGCATAACGTACAAAACTGACGTGCTCTTTTTCTCGATAAATGATTTTCTCTTTCGCCACACTCACCCCTGATCTCATGATCACATTGGTGACAACTAGCGGTGGGTCTCTTAATCTTTGTGCTTCTTCTCAAAGGAACAAACTACCGTCTCTTCACCTGTTGAATCGCCTTCCAAAGAGACATCAGACGTATTTCCACTAGGCTGAGCGTAGTTGTCTTCGGATGACATATTCGAGGCATTTCTTATTTTGATCAGTGCCTCATCGTTAGAGGACTCACTGTCGACATCACTTGTTGATGTGTTTGAACCGGCAAAAGAGAGCAGATCCCTCATATGGCGCGATATCCCATCAACACAAATCACGCTCGGGCTTCTATTCCCTGTGACACGTCCCACTTGATATTGAGCTGTACATCGGTTTTGAGTCGGGTTTACCCACACACGGTTCCCTAATCCGTATGTTAATCGTCCACGTTCTTGCTTTGGTGGAGGTTCCCGGACTCCATAACGATACATCCCATTGGCGGGCGCGGTGAAAAGCAACATGCTATCTTTTGGTGTAATGTTGTACCAATATACGACTTCCATCAATGAGTATTGTTTCCTCGTGGCAATTCGCTTTACGCTTCGCTGGCAACGTTTAACTCTCCCGTTATAGGAGTGGACCTGCGCGCAGTGGAAACGGATAGGTATTCCCCATCCGCCTAAAAACTCCTTGAATGGTTTATTAGGGAAAGCAGTGTCACTGTTGGTGAGACGTTCAGCAAAAAAATAGGACATTTAAATGCTTGATGACGCTGCCAGGATCTTGTCGGTGCAGTAGTCGTCAGATTGTGAATCGAGTGGGTTCACAGTTAAGCAGCGTCAGGTAATGTTTACCATCGTGATGGTGATGTCCAACCCAAACCGCATCCACACATCGCTAACGTCTAAATTTCCTCTTAGTCATCATACTGGTGATGGGTCAATGGACTGATACTCTCAACATTCTCTGACTGCGACTCTAACAGAATTGCCTCAGACACCGCTGGATCGACCCACCTGGCGAAGTATAGGGTCCTTTTAATGCCAGGGGTGCCCACTTTGACAGTGTAATGACCTTATCTTGTACGGCCTGCATTTACTCATTGATACTGCACAGCAAAGTTTCACCGATTCCGTCTCCTCCCTCACTGCATCGAGCCATCTCCGCGGTACCCTCATCAGCTTGTCTGCTCGGTTCTGGGTGGATCTCACCAGCTTTATGTCCACCGCGAAGTCATATTCACTGATCAGTTTTTCCAAGGTGCTGAACCTTTTCCGAATGAGCATCTCGCTTGAGACCTTTGTGTATATTCAGGCCTTTCCGCTGAGTGTCAGATGTCTATCCATGAACACATACAGACTCTGTGAATAAGTGCAACTTTTTTTGCATTCCATTGAATTGATACTTTAACACCCCTGAGTACGGCGTCCAACTCAGCTACATTTATATGCTGAACGTCCTTTTCGGAAGGCAACCAGCATGCATCCTCCACTACGTCCCTATTTATCTCGAGGGACAAGTTGCAAGGGAGTTCGCATCGACCCATACTTTCATACCCATGTACATTGACACACCATTTTCCTCGCACATA